CTACATGAGATGTTTGGGGAAAATTTTCAGCAGTATTCACTTATACTTAATAAGGTGATAACATACTGTAGAGGTCTCTTTTCTCCATTTTACAAATATCTAGTAACTATGTGTCTGTATAATTTTTCTTTCCAGCCATATGAAACATAAAAGTGGGTTATTTGTTTGTAAATTTTTGTTCAGTAAAACAAAAATAATTTGAGTTTTGCAGGTTGGAAAAATAACCCCCCAGAAGATACATATTAAATCTCTTTATAAACTGTAGAATGATAAATAGTTTTTATGACAGAAGGTACTGCCATCCAAAATGCCTTTTTGAGAAACAGCTTTTTGAAAAACAGAATACTAGGAAGTGCTAGGACAACATAATCAAAATGCTGCAAGTCCTTTATGATCATACTGATTATACAGAGGTGATGATCAGCATCCAAGAATTAACAAAGGAAACTAAAGAGTAAGGCAATGCTTTGTTATGTCCTGATACTGTTTGCATTATTTATTGTCTGAATCAAGAGGAAGGTAATCATAAATGGCAACTAGACATTTCACTGGCAAGACCCATTTGAATGACCTTCATTTTGCTGATGACATTAACTAACAACAGAAATAGATGGTTTTGTTAAAAAAGGCAAAAGGAACGTGTGCCTGTCAATATTCCGGGAATACTGTTAGAAATACAAAGTATTTTTATGTATCTAGAAAATGATAAGTGCCGTAATAGTGACATCAGATATAAGATAGTCTTTAACAACAAACATCCTTCAGAAACTTGAACTATTGTTAGCTACGGAAGCATGACCAGCACTGACACAATAATAACAATTGCCAATACCTCCTCTCCTTCTTTAGAGATATTTCTGGAACACCACAACAATGAGGACCTTTTCTAGAATTCATTGTTCTTATCAGGAAGGTCCTTAAAATAAATTGGTAAGAATGTACTCTATATTCTGGGAGTCTAAGGAGTGTGGACAAACTGAACGCATCAGATTTGAAACATGAACACAGTTACATGGCAAATTCCACAACATTTTCAGCCTAAAAAGAAAATAGTAGGGGCACTTACTGAAATCACAAGAAGAATAGTAAGGAAAAAGCCTTCGTCATCACCAGGACGATCAAAAGTCTAATGAATGCAGGCCCAGAATACCCAATGACACATGGTGGGTAATTTTGAGGGAGAACAAGGTAGACAGACATACTGGAGGCATTGCATGCGTTTCTGTTTTCAATGGGATAAAGAGGTCACTGTGGTATGGATTATGTTTTTACTTCTGTATGTTGATCTCCCCTCAATTTGTGAATAAGAACAGAGATTAAAAAATAACACCACCTTTAATATCACAAATAAAGGGTGATGTTTTTTAAATTACTGAACAGTATAAATGAATTCATTTAATAAGAACTGCAGACTAAAATCGTTTATTTTGCAGTCCAAAATTGTCAACAGTTTTGGAGGCTATTTACTCAAGTAATCAATAACAAACCAAACGTTACCACAACAACTATGATGTTACAGATGCAGTACTTTATATAACTTTTGGGTTAATGGACTTTTTCAAAACTCACTTGGTTTAAAAGTCTCTTCACTACTTTGTCCTCTCTCAAAAAAACTTTAAAACACAAAGTGAAAATGTCAATTCTATTATTTTTATATACAGGTAAGGCAGCCAACTTGCTAGGGTGTATGTCTACAAATCCATATTCTAATGCTTACCTGATTATTTGGGTTGAAGAGTCAGAACTGAGCATGGCAATAGTCCCATAGCACTTTTTTTGAGGCCACTGGATATAAAAACTAGCAGTATTCAAAAACTAGTGAAGCTTAGCAACCCTAACATGTTAGAAAACCTAAGATCAGGATGGTCCTTTGGTACACTCTTATCTTGTAAGAGATTTAAAAGGTATGCACACAGTGACTCTCATGGCATGAGTGAGACTGAAGGCCATTCTGGCCCTTTTGAAGGTTGACCCATGTCATCCTCAATATGAGTGGTTCCTTAGTGTCAACATACTCTAACACCACCATCCTTGTCACTAGAGTTACATCCAGGAAAACATCTTTGATTGGATCATGTCCATGTCTCAGCCTAGATGTTATTTTCCTGGTGCACATTTTCAGCTACATCACTACCTCCAAGCTGACTCTCCACAAGCTACAGGTGGAGGCCAGGCAGAGCACCTATGGCATCTCAATTGTCATTGGGTATCTAAATTTTAACAATTAAATTTTATGACTAATTTTGAAGAAATGATCAAGTGTCATTCTGATGAATATCAGTTCATTGTTTCTACCTCAAAATTTTTAATTTACTGTTTCATGTCTTCCACAAGGGTTTCCTGACTTACCTTTTTTCTGTATCACAACAGTGCTGTGGATGTCACCTGCTGTAGCAGCACCAGGCTACAAGCATCTACATCACCTGCTTTATTTTTGTATCAGCTTCTAGTAAATAAGGGTAAGCCACTCAGGACAGGGACCATCCCAGTGTCATGTCTGCATACAAACTTAACTGCAGATGTACTTTGGTGCATGATGCACAACTTCTGTTATGTTCTATATAAACTATAAAAGAGGAATGTACAACTTGTAAAAATATAATGGAATGGATAGCATGCAGGTTAAAAGTCATTCATGAAGAATCACTGGATACTTGATACTATGATTCTATCTGCACCCTGTCTAAACTAGCAGGAGAACTGTAATTGGCATCTAAAGGAAAGAGAAACAGTTCTGAGAACTATGAAAGTAAAAGAAAGCAAAAAAGAAAAAAATACAGTGTTAAAAACTCTCATTTTAATAAGAATGTGCAGAGTTCTGAAAACAGAATTGTGTTTTTGGCAGGGGAGTCAGCAGGCTGAATTTAAATGTTAATTTTGATCTGTAGTGCAGAATGCATTTGGTAATAAAGGTTAGATACAATTTTTTGCAGTAAGTATCCTGTCACATGGCATGATTTATATCCTAATTATTTTACAAACCTGTAGCCAGTCCATCTTGCAAACAATTAGCTGAGAGATTTTCTTAGCCTAGCATTTGATACAACAATTTCTATCTTTTCTTCCTCCTGTCCTCTTAATTTCTTCCCCCTCCCATTAACAGCTTAAGAACAAAACCTAAAGGGTAAAAACATCCTGAGTTCCTAAATTACATTAAAGAACACAGCTTACCAAGTAGCCTTTTTCTCTAAAACAAGTTAGCACTATTACTTTTCAGCTTACAACATCTGTGATTGATGCATATTATATAAGAACATTTTGTGCAGGTATTGTTACGAAGTTTATAGTGCTAATAATGGAAAAATCTGATTCAGTACTTTGTGTGAGTCTGAGAGACATGAAGAATAGCGTTATATTGTTTGAGCTAAATTAATCACTTACACTGGTCTATCATCAATTGCTTATTGATATTTCAAGATCCCAGAGCCTACATTTTAAAGGTACTGTACTGTATGTGCTGTACAACAGCTGTTTGGCATTATTTAAAGAGGGAAACATTTCTGCAAAAACATACAGGATATCACAAAATAAACTTTCAGAAGCAATTGCTTTAGGCTGAAACTTGACACAAGGAAACATACTTATCCACAGTAAAATAAATTTAATAGGCATTTCAATCAGGATAAATTTGGCCTTATGTCTTAAGATGAGAGCAAGAATTACTTTAACTTAAAAATTAAATACAGCTGTTGACAGAATATACCAAGTGAGAATACAGATGCTTTGTGATGACCTCTTTCACTAAAAGAGATTCAAGAGAGAATAGGCACTACCTGTGGTGTGCCAGTTGCTGATGCTGTAAGCAAAGACTAAGTACAAAACAATCTGTCGTGGTTTGAGCTCAGAGTGCAACTGAGCACCACACAACCACTTGCTCACCCCTTTCAGGAATGGGAAGGACAAAATAAAACAAAAGGATAAGGAATTGAGATAAGGACAGGGAGGGATGGCTCACCCATTACAGTCTAATGACCCCATTCATACGCAAAGCTGGGAGACATTCATTTTCCCCAAATATGTGGGAAATATGCAATCCCAGTATGTACTATTTTTACATTTCCCTCTTCCCTGAGTCTCTTGGATACTCTGATCCTTCTTGCCACCTTTATATTGTCAACACACTTACAGTCCATTGTAGGAGACTGTGTAGGACTTTGTTTGTCTCAACATCGCTGCTGCACCACTACCACTTCCTGGCCCCCTGCATCCTGTTGATGCGACAGAGTACGCCTTGAAGGAGACGGGTAGTCCCCGAAGAAACCACGACATCTGCCCGAAGCACAAATAACAACGTCCCTGACAGTACCAGCCAGACTGCACCTGCGCGCGAGCCGGGTCGGGAGGAAATTGAGGCGAGGAAGATGTGCAGAGGCTGAAGGCACCGTGGACCAACCCTCGCCAGCGAGACCACCATGACCACCTGGGCATGCGCGCATGGAGGTCCACGGGGCGGCACATATTACAATGAGCTCCGTGGAAATGGGCGGACTTTTCCAGGAAATCGTGGGGACTAAGGCGATAAAAGGACTGCGTACTCTGTACTGGCGTGCGTGTGCATCGTTGCGAGTTGTGTGCGTGCATGTGCATCGTTGCGTACATGTGTGCTGGTGAGTGCAGTGTGTTGTTGTGCGCGCGTGCGTGTGTGTGCGTGCGGGCTCCCAAAACATCTCTCTTGTGGACTTCGACGGAGCTTGGACCATCATCAGTTGCACCGAGACTGAGCCAACGGGACATCGCGGGCTCGTGGTGGTGGTGATTAATCTTGCCGCATCTCTATCGCTTTCTAGCTTAGGGATTCTGACTTTCTCTTCCTTTTTCTCCCTGTCCTATCGCTCTTATCAGCCGCTTGTTTAATAAAGATCACAAGGTTGTCCGGCATCTGACCTCGTTTGTGTCTTAATCTCACTCTTGGGATCGTTTAAGAACCCTCCCTGATTTCGGATCGGGATGTCCCCGATACCGGATCGGGACATCTTTTTAATTGGCGTCATGGACAGGATCCCTAGAGACGAGAGTGCTGTACTACCTTGCCGTGTTGGATGTAAACCTCTCAGGATGAATTGAGCCCCCTTTTGTGTTACATTGAAGTGTGTCCTCCTGAGAGCAAAATTGGGGGAACTGTGGGCTGTGATACTGCCTTTGTGTTTGAGTGACGTGAGACCTCTTGAGAGCGAACCGTGTGGTCCTCTCAGGACGAAAACCAGTTTTGGTTGCTCTTTGTGTGAGAGATTCAGATTTAGTCTCCTGAGAGCGAATAGGGGAAACTTGGATACTAAGCTGTGACCCTCTCAGGACAAATTCCCCTTTTTTGTTGTTCTAGTCTGTGGAGACCCAGATTTAACCTCATGGGAGAGAATAGGGGAACTTTGACATTGACGTGTGTCCCTCCCAGGACGATGATCCCCTTTGCATTAGGAAAAGGAAAACAAATGCTCACCTCAGAGGCAGCCGATGCTTGTGATGATGTGCTCTCAGGGGCTGAAGGAATAGATAAATTGTATGATCTTTTGGAGGCACACCGATCTCGCCCCTCAATCCAGGGACAAGATTGGGCGAAAAACCACTGGTTTCAACCACAGAGTGTGGTGGATAGGATAAGGGTATTGCAGAAGGAAGCTAAGGTTAAGAGAGGAAAAGGAAAAGCCATAATTTGTGCAGTGCTAGGAGCAAGTCTGGCAGCTGCGGTGGAGGAGAGAGAGCAGAAGTCTCAGCAAGTTGATACTGTAATAGACTCCCTGAAGACTGCTATACAGACCCTGCAGGAACAATTGAGAGAAACCAAAGATTTGTTAGAGGAGGAAAGGAACCAAAATGCAATATTGAAGGATGAATTGAGAGAGCAATTATTGACAGAGACAGATACATTGGTGGAGGCAAGAGTTAAACTTTTGGAGAAGGCTATAAGGCAAATTTATCCCCAAAGAGATTTGCAGAAAGCGAAAGAAACTGTAGAAAGGATCCCTCATATGTATCCGCTGGTTAAAACAGAGTATGTTTACAAGGACGAGAGCGATGACCGTCTTCAGGTTATCACCAAAGAAGTCCCATTTACAGCAACTGAATTGGCAAAGTTGAAAAAAGATTTTGCAAGGACTGCAAAAGAATCAGAGACAGAGTATGTGTGGAGAGAGTCTTTGTCAGGAGGGGATGGAATCATCTTGTCAGAGAAAGAAGCAGAAGGATATTGGGGTCCGGGTGTGTTTCTAACTACCGGCGACCGCCGAGCCCCATGGTCATTGACTCAGAGAGATGCATACTGGGCTGGAGGGCTGAACCCCTTGGAGAGGGGAGATCCCCTTGCCATAAGAGGTACGGTGGATCAGTTAGTTGAAAGTGTGCAGAAGGCAGCTTGTCTGCAGATGATGTATGATCGGGAACTCAAGCCCAGCCAGGGTTCCCCAATGATGATGCCTGTGGACCCAGAGAGGATGACCCCCCTGATACGAGGACTCCCTGACTCTCTGAAACCCTTTGGCATTCAATTGCAAGGGAAGATTCAAAACACCCCCAATGCAGAAAGAATGACAGCTGCTCTGGAGGGGACTGTGACCCCTGACCATCAAAAGCCAGGGAGGAAAGTATGGACATGGGGAGATGTAGCCCAGGAATTGATTAACTTTGGGAGAAAATATGGCCCTGTTGGTGGTTCGTCCCAAAGAACTGAAGCCAGGGTCGTACGGGCTGCAGAGCAAATTAGTAGGCAACAATCATTCATGAGAAAGAGCCAAGGCTCGGTGTCACCCCGAATTCGGAACCCCGGGAGGGAGAGACCCCTGACTCGACACAGACTGTGGCAACTAGGGCTTCAGAAAGGCATTCCTCGAGACTTGATGGATGGGCTTTCGAGTCAGAAATTAGAACAACTTGTGCAGAAATGGTCTGAGTGAAGGGTCACTTTCAAACCAACCCCTAGTGCTCCATCCTTGATAGACCTTGGGGAGGAGCCGACTGGGGGAAATAACGTGGCGGGAAACTAGACCCTCTGTCCCCCGAAAGTGAGGGGATAGGCGGAGGATGGATGTTCGTAAGACAACTCACCAGCAATTCAAAAGGGGATTTATTGATTACTGTTGCTGTAGGACCAAGGAAAAGACTAGTAACATTTCTGATTGATACTGGGGCACAAATTACTGCGCTAATGCGAACTGAAGCAGAAATAGAAATCTAATTGTTTTAGATGCCTTGGGAAAAACACAGTCAGTGCCCATGACTCCGGTGACACTCTGGTTACCAGGAGAGGAAAATCCTGTCAACACTATGGTGGCCATAGGATCTTTCCAGATGAATCTTTTAGGTATAGATGTTTTAAAAGGTAGACAGTGGCGGGACACCCAGGCAAATTCGTGGTCTTTTGGTGTTCCCCATATCAGGCAATTGACCGAAACATCAGGCACAGAGGTGCGGTTGTTGCAAGCAGCACCTACCTTACCTCCTTCCAAATTGACAAATGTAAAACCCTACCCATTGCCTCTAGGAGCAAGGGGGGGGGAATTACACCAGTTCTGGAAGATTTGAAAAAACAAGGGATTGTTGTTCCCACTCACTCCCCCTTCAGCTCTCCAGCATGGCCGGTCTGAAAACCAAACGGCAAATGGAGATTGACAATAGGTTATAGGAGGCTTAATGCCAATACAGGTCCGTTAACAGCTGCTGTACCAAACATTGCTGAATTGATAGCAAGCATTCAGGAACAATCTCACCCTGTCATGGCAACAATTGATGTCAAAGATATGTTTTTTATGGTCCCTTTACAACCTGAGGACCAGGATCGCTTTGCCTTCACCTGGGAAGGACAACAGTACACCTTTACAAGACTCCCTCAAGGATACAAGCACTCACCCACGCTAGCCCACCATGCTCTAGCACAAGAGCTGGAAAAAATTCCCAGAAAATCAGAGGTGAAGATTTATCAATATATAGATGATGTATTCATAGGAGGGAGTCAGGTAGAAGAAGTTAGAGAAACTCAGCAGGACATTATCACCCATCTAGAAAGTAGAGGGTTGACAATTCCACCTGAGAAAATACAAACCCCTTCAAGTGAGGTAAAATTTTTGAGAATCTGGTGGAAGGGAGGGATGACGTGTATCCCACTGGATACTCTCTCCTCCCTCGATCAGATCAAACTGCCTGAGTCAAAGAAAGACTTAAAGCATGCACTAGGGTTGCTTGTGTTTTGGAGGAAACACATTCCCGATTTTTCAATTATTGCTAGGCCTTTGTATGACCTGCTGAGAAAGCGAGCTCAGTGGGAATGGACTGAGGTCCATGAGGAGGCTTTACAGTTGTTAGTGTTTGAAGCGACTGCCTATCAAGCCTTGGGTCCAATTCACCCAACAGATCCAGTTCAAATTGAATGGGGATTTGCCAAGACTGGACTGTCCATACATTTATGGCAAAAAGGACCAGAGGGTCTGGTTAGGCCAATTGGTTTCTATTCTCGTAGTTTTAAAGATGTTGAAAAAAGGTATACAACTTGGGAAAAAGGCCTATTTGTGGTTAGTCTAGCTCTGAGAGAAGCTGAACGCACCATTAGGCAACAGCTTATAGTTCTCAGAGGCCCATTTAAAGTGATAAAAGCAGTTTTGGCAGGAACTCCACCCCCTGACGGGGTGGCCCAGAGAGCCTCCGTGCGAAAGTGGTATGCACAAATAGAGCACTATTGTGAAATTTTTTCGGTAACAGAAGGAGCCACAAAAGTGTTAAATATACAAGAGGACGTAGACCCAGATAGGGAAACACCTGAGCTTTTGTCTGTAATACAAGTAGCTCCTCCATTTTCTGGACAATTGCAGAATGCCTGGTTTACGGATGCCTCGTCAAAACAAGAGGGAAAAATTTGGAAATACCGAGCTGTGGAACTCCGGGTAGACACCAAGGAACAGATCATTACTGAAGGAGAAGGTAGCCCACAAGTAGGGGAACTAATTGCTGTGTGGAGCGTTTTCCAACACCAGGCTCAATCTGCTTCTTCTGTCTATATCTACACTGACTCTTATGCTGTGTTCAAAGGTTGCACTGAATGGCTTCCATTCTGGGAACAAAACAGATGGGAGGTCAATAGAATACCCGTATGGCAAAAGGAAAAATGGCAAGATATCCTTGCTATTGCCAGGCAGGGGAAATTTGCAGTAGCATGGGTAGCATCTCATCAACAGGACGAGACCCCAGTGAGTCGGTGGAATGCTGAGGTGGATGAACTAGCCCGGCTGGCACCCCTACAAAGCACCCAGATAGCAGAAAATTGGGAGAATCTATTAGAATGGCTACATGTAAAATGGAAACATTCAGGAGTTAAGGACCTCTATTGTGAGGCACAGGCCCGAGGGTGGCCAGTTACCAGGGAAGAATGTAAAACTTGTATATCTTCCTGTGAACACTGCCGTGTCCGTCTGGACAGACACCCTCTGGAGAGTGACCCCCTGCACTTGAGAGAGGAAAAAGGCCTATGGGAGGCCTAGCAGATTGACTACATTGGTCCCTTTCAAAAGTCAGAAGGGAAGCACTATATATTGGTAGGTGTAGAGATAATATTTGGACTAGTGCAAGCTAAAGTGTGTGCTAAGGCAACAGGAGAAAACACAATAAAAGCCCTGAAAGAATGGTTTGGAATTTTCCTCAAACCACAGTCAATCCAGTCAGATAATGGCTCACATTTCACAGCCAAAATGGTCCAAGAGTGGGCATCCCAGGAGGGAATTTTGTGGGTGTTTCATACCCCATATTACCCACAAGAAAATGGAATAGTGGAAAGAACAAATGGTCTGCTAAAACGCTTCCTCAAACCGCATAAGCCAGGATGGGCTGAGCGAGTGGGGGATGCAGTGACCAGCATCAACAGTCGCTGGGGAGTAAATGGATGCCCAAAGATCACAGCATTCTGTCCAAAACCTCCAGCAATCATGCCAGCCCCACATGGTCCTGATCAGCCCAGCAATTCATCCCATTTTCCAGGACAACCTGTCTTGGTTGAACTTCCCACAGTGGGCAAAGTACTACTGGTGTTGGACACACCCCTCAGTAAATACACCTGGAAGGCGAAAGATGCCTGTGGGAAAACCCATAAGATTCACACTAGATGGATTGTTCCCTCTTTCTAACCCGAGAAGCGAATTTGTCTTTTTGTTTCACTTTCAGGAAGAAGCAAGTGACACAGACGCACTTGCAGGAGCGAAGCAGACACAGATCTTAGTGTAATCTGATCAGAATGTGTATGTTAATATTTGCTATATTATTTTGTGGATTTACCTATAAGAGTGAAGGGAAGCCAATTCTCCCATCACCTACCCCCAACCCATATGACCCCTTCAAGCATAATGAGTTTGTTTTGTTAGCAAAAACTGTAAGTCAAACCTTTAATCTGAGTCATTGTTGGGTTTGTGGAGGACCTCTAGGTTTATCAAGCTGGCCGTGGGTCTCTACAATCCTGACTCCAGCACAAATTGTAAGCAAAGCAAATTCGAGCTGTGCGCCAAACTGCACAGTCATCCGTACGGGTCATATAGTAATGAACTATCAGACACTCCGTAAACAATAATCAACAATTTATTAGCAAACAAGAACCTGAAATAATTAACTGTATAACAATCCAGCAAAGTCCCACGCGACACAATCAGAAAGAGAGAAAATAAGAAACAAAGATATCCCCACCCAGGAATTCAGCACTGTCCTTCAGATGTTGTCCTCTGAGCTCACGGGGGTGATAGAGATAGAAAGATAGAGGAGTCCGAGAATAACAGTCATGCGCCGCGTGGTAACTCTGCTGATGAATAACATTTTCTTCTTTGAACTATAAGTCTGTTTCCCTCACCTCAGCAAGTGTTCGAGGGCATCTTAGTGGTCTTCATGGTCTTGGAGGACTGGGGGGAGAAGGCGATCTTCTCCGACACCAGCCACGGGACACTCCCTTGCATACCACGATGGCAACGACCATCACCACCAACACAATGAAAAATCCCAACAGCAGGGTGGCACACATGGGATTGTCCCCTACTCCCATCTTCCCAAGATTACAATCCAGCGGGATCGGTAAGATTAGTTGGGATAGCCCAGCCCCAGGCTAGCGGCTTGACTGAGGAAGGTCCAAGTGTGCAATGAGCGGAAGTTTCTCTTCCACCCAGAATGCCTGTGTTGCCTAGATCTGGGCCGGGCCTTGAAGTTGTTTTTGCCATCCGGGTATAACCGAACTTTTGAGACCCTCCAACAACACATGCGCTTTGGGCTGGGGGCGTGGAAATCCATTTTCCTGCTGCGTATGTGGACCCTGACTCCCGATCCCTATGGACCAGGCGGGTTGACCACTTGCACTCTCAATTTGTAAACAATGGAACATGCTTATGTATGGGTAGCAATTTATTATGCATCCTTAATGTTGGTAGCCCTCACTTTGTTTGCCTTTTTACTACATATCTTTTGCCCTTGTAAATGTTCCTCTTTCAAGTGCCCATGCAGTTGTATCTGTTTACGTAGACCACCATCTCCTTCCCCTCCCCATCCCCAAAGTCTGGGAGCACATCCCTCGGCCCAGCCTGAGACACATGCTGTTTAAGTAGGTTTGGGTAGAAAACTGTTGATTGGTAGTGTTATTGTTACCTTTTTCTATGTTTGATTGGAATATTAATGCTGTTACGAACAGTGATATTGTTTTGTTTGATTACCTTTGTTTAATTTTGGAATAGAAGTTTCTAGGCCCAAATGACGCATGCACTTTAGGATAAGGGGGTGTGGAAAGCTATTCTCCCCTCCGCGCATGCTGATCCCAACTCTGGCAGACCAGACCGCGTGAACTGCCAGGGCCTCAGATGCTTTGGGGTATTTTGTTAAAAATGGACCTGCTGTTTGCTTTACTTTTAACTCATGTGTTGGCCTCTAGTGTGATAACTATTCT